TGACTTCTGGAGTTTGTTTTGAAAGAAAGTCGAGGAAGTGAGCGGGAGAGAGAGAGAGAGAGAGAGAGAGAGAGAGAGAGAGAATGAGAGAAAAAGAGCACAGTGGTCAGTTTTTCTGCGCAATTAAGTTTACAGTAAAGACAGGCGTACATACACTAAAAATACGCATACACACAAACCTCTCATCAACGGACTAACAGAGGAAAGGGGGGGTCCGTTAAAGCCGATTGTCTGTACATGGGAAAGGATAATTTTTGAGTTATAAAACAACTATAGTAACCACCAGTAGTTATGATCATGATGTAAATACTATAAGCATGTATATACGGCATAAATAAATATATACTTAATATAGATTTATCATTCAAAATAACAAAAATAATAGATTTCTCACAGCTATTTTCTCACTCACGGGCTAATGTATCGTACTTTATATACTGTACACCCGTCTTTGTTTACAATTGAAAGGCCTGCCATTGCCGCCAAGCGGTCACATTGATAACGAATACGACTCGTTCTGCTAAGCCCGCAATTTTTGAAATAAGTCGCTGACGATTTGGGAGTTTTTTTTTCCCGGAGATTTTTAAAAATTTTGCCTGCAGATTTTGTCCGTTGCATCCAAAGTTCGTTGATGGGGAGTCCGTAGATGAGAGGTTTGTCTATATTCAAATACCATTATGTGTAGGTATGTACAGTTTTTCGATCTTTTGAAAATCCTTGCAAATTTAGTAAGGCAAAATGATCATCCCCACATAGTAGTTTTAAATTCTTGTGTATGTAATTTATATATGCTCTGTTTTAATAAACGCATCCAGCTCTCATTGTGGATGAGTTTTATTATTTTATATTATTAGGATTTACTTGGATGTTTATCTGTAATATATATATATATATATATATATATATATATATATATATATATGTTCATGCACATTTCATTAAATAATATAGACAAGTGTTGTCTATTAATTTTATGTAAAAAAACTAAAAATCCTTGAAGCATTATACATCAAACAGTTGAAACCCAACCTAAACAAAATCAATTATGGCATCTCTACAAATATTCTTAAATGTCTATAATTGGTAACAGAAGCCATTGGTTTATACCAACGGCTTCCCATACTTCACTCTCGTGTGGTCATATGTAACGTCATGAGATGCGGTGCGATTTTCGCTTCTAGCGTCTTATATGAGCGTGTAAAACAATGACAGACTATCATCACTGTCGTGTCCGTATATTGTTTAAAATGTTGTAATTGACATCTTTGATAATGTAAGCCGAAAGCTTAGATTGTATTAAAAAAATATGGATCAATATTGTGAATTTCTTTCTTCGTTCAACGATAATGTTATTAAACTTATCAGACGTTACGAAAAATTTTAAATAAAATAAATAGACAACACTTGTCTATATTATTTAATGAAACGTGCATGAATGAAAAGATACTGCCTAAATACACACAATATATATATATATATATATATATATATATATATATATATATATATATATGAAGACAAGCTAAAATGTGACCACTCAGCTGTCAATGTACTTCATACTAACTTCGAGCGAAGTACCCTGTATAGAAACAACTGTAGATATTTGCACCAGAGTTGCATCAAAAATGTTGAAATCAGTCTTATTGACCGGCTAAGAATTATAAAACATAAAATGAATGAGTTTATTGGATTCTCATACGTCGATATCGACGGGTGTGTCCCACCTTATCATATATATATATATGGGGAGAGAGAGTTATTGAGTGGAGTGAAAGCAAGGACGTCGGAATCAACACTGTATGGCGATTGTCAGTCTCAATGGTATTTTCAGTATATAGCCTTTCGTTGTGTTGTCTTCAATGCCAGCGCAGTCTATATCTATAAATTATCTATCTCTGATATTGAGCACTCTTCCATTATAAACAAATTAGACGAGCTATTAAAAATATGACATAAACCTATTAAAAATATTAAAATAAACCAAAATAAACATAAACTCCGCCAAGTAATCGTAAACATATCAACGTACTATGCCGCAATCAAATACACTCTAACTACAACCAACATAAAAAAAAATCATAAGTAGTAGTATATGGTATAAGATGAAACAGAACTAATGCTTTTGATTTAATTATATAATTAAATTTGAAGTTTTTGCCTCAGTTTTTGAGATATGGTTATTACTGTGTAGTGAAGAAACCATATTCTAAATCAGTTAATTTATAATATTTATGCTGTGTAAATTTACATTCACCACTGTTTTGTAAAAATAAAAATATCAATAAGAACACAGGATTATACATCTTACTGTTCTTTCTTTTTATTATGATATATATATATATATATATATATATATATATATATATATATATATATATATATGTGTGTGTGTGTGTGTGTGTGTGTGTGTGTGTTTGTGTGTTTGTGTGTTTAAGCTGCAAAACTATAGAAATATAAAATGAATATATTGCTAAAAGTAATCAAGTCGAAGACTATCGATAAACAATATCATATACCCGAAATTTCAACAGAAGTGACCTTTGACCGGAGTAGCTATATGTCTGTGCGTGTGTGTGTGTGTGTGTGTGTGTGTGTGTGTGTGTGTGTGTGTTTTAAGCAGCAAAACTATAGAAATATAAAAATGAATTTGCATGACAGACTTGCGCCCCACCAACCATTTATACCTTTTTTAAAATTGAAAAGTGCCTTAATTGTTTCAGTGCCTGGTGTACAACGCAATAGCCACACATGTTCACGACTTTAAACTCTTATATGAAATGGAAGAGTGGATAATTTTTAAGTTAGATTTCTTATCATTCGACATGAAATCGAAATGAATTCTACAGCAGCAGTGAAAGTTATAAAAACAAGAGCACAAAAAAAAAACCCAACTTTACAATCATTACATCTCTAGGTGAACATGATAAATATATAAAGATATGCATTTCCACTGATTCACTAAAAAATGTGTATACCATAATAAAAAAAAACGTCCAAAATTTAATAATAATATTTATTATTATGAGGGGGAAACCAAAGGATTTTTGATTATTAAATTATAATTTTTATTCTTTTTAGAACGTTCGAAATTATGGTTAAAAATCTTGTTTTTCTTGCGTCATGTGGTGGTGGTGGGGGGGTAGGGTTGTCCAAAGATTAGTATAGGAAAATTTTGCGGTTAAAAACACATTGGTTTGGAAATTCTGGCAAAAATCAAATACTTCTCGGAATTAATGAAACTTTCAGGAATTATTCATAAATGAATTAAATTAGTTTTTTAAATGTTTCTTTTTCAGAAAACCTTGGTAAAAACATTTTACATATAGTTCTGTTAAAACTCCGCCCTCCCATACACACTTATTTAATTTTATGAAATTTCTAGAAATTAAATAATTTTGTTCCGCTTAATGTTTATGTTAGTTATAAGCAGAAGTCCTTGGAGAATTTAAATCATCAACTTTTTGTGCAAAACAGGAACACCTGTTGTCGAATGTGTTCTGACCCTTAGCATTTGTTTTTTTATTAAAGTTTCGAAATCTTGCCTTTCTTTTTTTATAACAATATATATATATATATATATATATATATATATATATATATATATATATATGTGTTCGTGTGTGTGTATGTGCATTAGAGCTGTTGGTGTCTATTCAGCCCACTGAAGCCAGAAAGTGTTTGTATATAGAAACAAATTGTAATTTTTTTCTTTTTTTTTTTTTGAGCAGACCAACTCACCATCAATCGTTTTTATTGTCCTAATAACAAGACTTGGACCGACGTGGACGACTACTTCAGCTAGTAAAGGAAATAAAACAAATTACGAATAGCTGGAGCGACTCAACATCTTGTAAATTCAAACACTTTCGCTATGAATCAGATTAAAAGGCCCATATTTTAAGTTAACACAAGCCGACTCGAGAATTTCTAAATAAAGAAAAGAGTTTCGTGCTGTGAATTACACATTTTAAGGGTCACATGCAAATATGGGCGCGTATAATTTCTCATGCGCAAAAGAAGGTCCATATGGTATGTTGCCCGAAAGGTCAGTGACACGTAACATGCATCCACAAATATAGAGAAAGTCATGAGTCACCATCGACAAACAGTGGACTTGTGCTTGGCGGAAGCCCGCAGTCATGCAGAAGAAGTTACCGAAATCTGAACACAAGGGAACCCCCTTCTTTATATAGATTTTTGTTTTATAATTAATTTTTAGTTTCAGTATGGTCACCATTATTTTTATTTTATTTTATTATGTCTTTATTGATTTATTTGTTTTTCATTGTATTCTTTCATTTTTTTTCCCCGTCTTTGGTTCAGTCATTAATTCGTTTATTCAACTGTTTTCTTTCTTTTTCGTATTTCTTTTCTAAGTAATATATTCATCTTTCATTATTTCCTTCCTTTGTTCTTTTCTTTCATTCTTTACGTTCCTTCCTACCTTCCTTTCATTCATTTCTTCTTTCTTTTTCTTTTCATCTTTCTTCGTATTTCTTTTCTTAGAAACGTATACAACTTTCATTATGTTATTTTTTTCTTTTCATTCTTTTCTTTCCTTTTCTTTCATTCTTTCCATCTTTTATTTATTTGTCCCCTTTTTGTATTTCTTTTCGTAGTAGTGTATTCATCTTTCATTAGGTTACTTCCTTCATTTTTCTTCCATCTTTCATTCATTCATTCATTCATTTACTCATTCATTCTTTTCATCCCATCCTTCCTTTCACTTATTTTTTTTTTCGTATTTCTTTTCTTAGTAATGTGTTCGTCTTTCATTATGTTATTTCCTTCTTCGTTCCTTTCTTTCCTTCATTTTATTCCTTCCTTCCTACCATTTTTTCATTCCTTCCTTTCATTTATTTTTTTCGTATTTTTTTCTGAGTAATGTATTCATATTTCATTGTTATTTCCTTCCATCCTTTTATTCTTTTCTTTCATTCATTCATTCTTTTTTATTTGTTTGTGCCTTTTACGTATTTCTTATCTTATTATTTTTCATTATGTTATTTCCTTTCTTATCCTTCCTTCCATCCTTCCTTTCTTCCTTATTTTCATTCCATCCTTTCTTTCATTCATTCATTCCTTTCATTTATTTTTTTTCTTTTCTTAGGAATGTGTTCATCTTTCATTATGTTATTTCCTTCCTTCATTCTTTCCTTTCATTCTTTTCCTTTCTCCCTTTCTACCTTCCTTCCTTCCATTCATTCCTTCCTTCCTTTCATTTTTTTTTCTTATTTTATTCTTCATTTGTTAATGTTTTTTTCTTCATTCACATTGTCTTTCCTATTTTTCTAATTTATTTTTATATATTCGTTATTTTCTTCTCTTTATTTCATTCTTCAATTTATAATTCATTCATATTTATTCTTTTTTCATTTTTGATCATACTTATGTTTATTCTTCTTTCTATTCTGTTTGTCCCCTCCTCCTTTCATTTTCTCCTTTTTTTCTCTTAA